CTTAACGTGACGTGCGGTAAATTCATGAACAAAGATTATTTTGAAAATTTTGCGGACTTCAAACTTGTTCATCGCTTCAAGTATGCACTATCAAACTTAGATCATCTCAAACTTTCTGGTCCAGCTTTTGGGTGCACCAGTTTTTTATAAAACCAAAAAGCTTCAAAAAATAGTTATTTGTTTTTGCAATCTACAAAGCTTTATCTACAGCCAAATTTGGCGGCTAAATCCGTAGTGGAGTCAAAAAGAAATCAAAGATTTATGAAGTTTTAATAGTGCATTTTCGGTTGTTTATTTTAATCCCAATATTAGGAATCGAAAGGATGCCCAAAATTTTTTAAAAAAGGCGCTTTGTAAAATATTTAATGAAAGGAGTTCATATAATTTTAGCTAACTGCGAAACTTACTATTAATTTGGTATGTAAATATTTTTCCCGTGTTCAATCAATAGGAAGCCGGTAATTTGGATTGATAAAATGATCGTATTTATTCTTTTTGGGTTTTGTAAAGAATTAACAATGTGCAGTACCATTAAAATACGAATTGGTCCATTTGGCGAGGAATGTAAACAGATTTATTTGCTGATAAATTTCGGAGAATATCCTGATAAACTTTTTGCCGTTTGCAGATCAAGAGATTCTGCTTAACCCGAATACTAGCGTACTTCATGGCTAGAATCCTTGCAATACAAAATCCTTTAACAATTTTTTATCAGACGTGTTTGCTAATTTAGGATCAATCCTGGATATTTACTAGCTTCAATATTCATCAACATTACTCGTTTTCCTGAGGCGTTTAGATCATATGTTGTCCCATTCCAATTATTGGTTTAAAATATACCAAGTTCTTCGACTGGTATTTGTCAAACAGGATATTATTGTGAGACAGAAACAAACTTTTTGAGAGTGGGTACGCAAACGCCTCCGTTACGAGTCAGGCATTATTTGTCCAACACAGAGACAAAGGATATGACCGCATGTAGACTAGTTTTATTGTCTTAGCCAATTTAAAAATACGAGGCCATAATGCGCCCCGAGTGTTTGAGATTAACACCAAATAAAAATGCACTACTTCTAAAACAGAGATGGCAACTGTACATTGTAACAGTCTACACAACTTTGCGTTGCGATAATTAACATTGTACCGTAGACATTTACAGCAAATATGTCACCGGTATCAGAACTCACACCCGGCATCAATAAATAATCTGCTTCACGGCTATCTCTAGGCGCAGCACCTGTCGTTTTTGAAATATTTCCTAGAAACGTCGGACCGTTCTTCGATGCTGAAAGTTTAATCGAGAATTAGATGTTTAATTTCGACTAGAATAAATATGAAATGCTCCATGAACAGCAGTCGTGTTTTAGATTGAAGGATTTTTAGGCTTTTCCAGTTAGGAGATTTATCGACTTCACTACAGTTTAGGGATGAGGGTGGAATTTAGAATTTTGTAGAACATGAGCCATTGCTAAATCGTTTTGGTAATAACAGTTAACAGATCAATGTGAGTGTGACCCAAAAAAATCAACAATGATGACTAAAACACTACCCATCAAGTGAAATTGTTCCCCGAGGTCGCGAAGCAGGGGATTTCCTTAAAAACCGGATAGCGTTCAAACGATGTTTGTGCTGTTGCGTGGGATTGTATATAAACTTTTATGAAGGGGTGGCAATGCGATTTAAAGATAAAGATATATATAAAGATAAACAGAGCGACGACTGAAAAAGTAATGGCAAGCTAAAATGCGCAACAGACATAATAGGAAATGTCTTTTTAATCATATTACTGAATAAGAAAACGTAGGCCAAATTATTTGTCAATGTTGTCCATGGATTGGAGCGGTCGTTCAATATTTTTAATGGACCTGTTTTAAAAACTTGTGGCAACCGATGCAGCATACTTTCCACCAAGAGCGTTGTAAACTTTTATAAAGGGTGACGTCTTGAATAAGTGACACTGGACAAGTCATTGTGATCTGCACTAGAGAAGGGAAGACGTCAAGGCAGTCGTACACGGGAGTTGAATTTATTTTGGTGGAATCTGTGCTCGCAATATCCCTGACACGTGGGAGAAACCGCAGGTTCCTCGCCACATTGTTGACAGGCGGTATTGCGGCTAAGGTTAACATTGAAAAATAATTTGTCACTGAAACAACCTAAGACGAAGTATCTGAGTCCATCGTTTTGGAAAGCGTCGCCAAATTATAAAGAAATGGTTTACCATGCTCGCTGTGTCGATCACTAAAGAATTTTGCCTATTTAACTGAGCCGCTTATTCCATCATTTATTTGCATTGACTCAAAGAATGAGAAAATAGGATTTATATCATCGAAAATTTTGACACGTTGTGACGAACTATGGTGGTCTTGACTGTGCCAGCATCTTTGTGAATGTCTAAGACGTTTGAAAGTTGTCCGGTCAAAGAGCGACAATTACAACTCATTAAAAAACCGTGGTTTTCCCATCTACAAAATTGGTCCCAACCTGTTCCTCGTTGATTTCGTAAACGATAACGACTATGATCCCTTGGAAATATTGAGCTTTAAGACCGAGTGGAGCGGAGCGACTAAAAGAGTGCAATGGTAGTAATGAAGCAGTGAGCTTCAACAGATAGTAGAACACATTTGCAGCTAAAATCCAACTCTAGGTCAATTGTTGCAATGATTTTCTTGCGTAAATTGAGGGAGAGTCGTTAGGATTGTATGTAGTACCGATTTGTGTTTGTCACGGATATAATGGCCTGCTTAATCCCACTCATCCGTGTGTACTTCTTTAGTACTTAAACAGTTGACTACACTTTTAAGTGGAGAGCTTAGGAATAAGTGTGTAAGATACTTTATAAAATATAACTTACGAGTTTATCCTTTACTTAGTAGTCCATGTAGTTAGCCTGAAAATTGAAGACCGGATGTGGCGGTAAATTAAGATCAGTGAGGTGCACGAAATCATTTAGAACCCACATTTCAGTTATCTTTCTTGACTACTGCTACTTGCCATAGAAGCAATTTCTCTGTGTCACCACAATGGTACTATTTAAGCTCAGACTGGGCGCCTGAAGTTTGCTGACTCAAACTCAATTTACCCCGCCCTTAGGAGTTTTTAAGGACCAACCAACGTGTGTATGGGTTGTCAACTGTTCTTTAGCAGGCGTTTCCTGAGTTCAATCAGACGCGTATCTTAATTTAATGGAGGTAACACACGGTCGCGATAAAATTACCAACTATAGCAGAATCCAGCACTTGATTGGTGGAGCTCGATACTAGTCTAGTGTTTTTGGTCCTGCAGGTCACGTCAATTTAAACAAAAAGGTAGTGTATTAATAATTCACACCTGACTTAAATCATTTTGCAAATGCCACGAAAACTTTGCTTTGAAGTATTTTGAAAAAGAAGAACACGCTAAATGGAACAAATCAAACGTATTTGATAAAATTACGAGATTAAAGGTGTATTTTAGTGCTGTTTTTGCTTCCTGCTGCTTCCTGTTTTATAACAGAGTTAGCTGAAGGCCACGCTTTTATTTAAACAAACTTTACTCCTGTGGGTTGCAAATAATGAGCCTACAGAACTCGAATGTGTCTAGGACCAACACCTAGCAAAGCTACGAAGAAAATTGTTATCAGTGTTTTGTGCTACTCTCGTTAATCGGAAATCATTTGCGGGAACCTCGCTGTGAAATACACAAAATTTATTTAATCCCTCTTCTCTGTTCAGCCAATGAGAATAGACTTATGTTAGTGTTAATTGTAACCAAGACTTTATGTGGTTTGCTTAAGCCCAGATAGAATATCTGCACTGACAATTTGCCTAAAATTTTGCCATGGGGACCTACCTTGCCCATCCATTGCAAATGAGTCGGATTACCATCTCTCGCAAAATTTGAGACGTCTGCTGTTGTTCAGATTTTATTTAGCATACCTTGCATTCCTAAGAATTCAAAAACATTTTCTAAATGACATAAACTCCTTGATGGGAAAGTTCTTCAAACAAACACTTTTCTAGAAAGAGCGATCCTTTTGGAAAGCATGACTAAATCTAAAGGTCCTTAATGTCAAAACAGAATCGGATTAGGTACAAGGCTAATGTTTTCGTGTAGCTGACGAGCGCACGACGTCGATGATACATGATCGGTGTTAGGAATTAGTTTGTGGACAGTGCGAAGCATCTGAGGTATTGGGTTTTCGTGTCATAAAATGTGGGGGTCTTCAATGCGGAAAATAACCGTATCAACGAAGGCGATTTTGAACTTGAGATCAAAGCGTTAAAGAAAAGTTGAAAGTTGTCAGTCTAAAACTTTTCTGTATTTCAACAGAAAACATTGTGGTGAAAACACAAACGGCTGGTGAAATAAATGATTGCGAAGACTGGAGAAAGGTCTCCATTAATACTAAGATATTTTGTGAATGGCAAGGCTGTCAGCCGTAAAATGCTCCGGGTAAGAATCTTGAGTCTTAAATTCTGTTCTGCTATATCTGAGACGTTGACTTACACAACTCGAGAGAAAACGGCTATAAAATGTAAAATCCCGCCTGGAAAACTCTTATTGTCTTTAAGGAAAGATTGGACTATTTCTACCGGAAACCCACGTGACAATACCCTCTTTATTGTCATGCTGGCGCGTTCATTGGGTGTGTTTAAAAAACATCACAACGGAAAAATTCCCAATGTAAGACGAGACAGACTAGACAATAATACTTTATTTCTACCTAATTTTGGCCATATCATGAGTAAGGAAATTGGTTAGAGAGCCTAAGACTACCAGTCTGCAATGAAAATTTACCGTCTGAAGGATCCACTTCTTTTGCATGAATTCCCAAAATCTTGACAGATCTTTTAAATATTTTAGAGGCTATTTAATGAAAACAAATGTTTCCTCTTTGGACCTACTTTCTTGAGCACATGTTTACAATTGAATTTCTCGTTTGATAATACCCATAATGACAAGCAATCACTTGCATTAAAAATCAAATAGGAATTTAATTGTCCAAAAAATTGAGCTAAAGTGCAATAGACCTTATGGCTTGCTACGTTTTCAGACATTCAATCATAACAGCATCTCTTTTCAGGAGAAGCTGGAATTCGTAATTTGTCTTCTTAAGAGTCCTGTTCAATCCCTAAACTCCAGTTTCTTCCAATATGTGAAATATGGATTTTTCCGCTGACTTTCTCACTCCTTCACATCCCTGTACACCCAAACGTAATGTTAAAATGCTACAGGTGAGGAACATATGGAGGCCCCGACATATGGTCTTGAACTACAATTGGGTCGCTTCTTTGTGTTGGCCCGGTTACTATACACGGATACCTAAAGAGACTAAGAAGACGGGAAATGGCGCAGACAACAGTTTACTTGTCGGCTCAACTTGGTTGAGGTGGGAAATGGTGTCTGACTACTCTGGATGTTAATCAAAACAGCCTAGGTGATCTTGTAAGAGCATATTTGACTGTGCGCCTGAGCGAATCGAATAGCAGGGGGATGTGCACGAACAGTCGGTTCCGCATGAGCGATAGGGACGCAGTGTGAGTCTGCGATTGTGACGACCAGGCTAATGGACGTTATTCTACGCGATGCACTACCGACATCTATTCTGTGAGATGGATTTAGCCTGTGGTAACAACAAGATAATATGTATGCAGGATTGGAGAAGACTTAGCAACTATGCTCGAATCATAGAACAATTACAAATACCAGCTTGCGTTGTCCAGTGTAGGATTTTACATTGCACGTTAATAAGACGAACCTTCCCATCTATGATTTGCATTTTACAAGTCCTCACTTTGTAATTTTAGAGAAGTAGGTCTCATTGAGGATTTTCTTCCACTGGAGTCTTGCATGATGTGAATCGGGGATCTTAAAGTTAGTGCAACCCGATGGATCTCCCTCCTCCATTATACAAGCGACTCGTGTCCATTTCCGACTTATCCCTAGACGGATTTGCCATGTAAACGGAGGAGCTTCATCACGTGACTACACTGAGACCATGGAGGAACACACCGCATGAATATGAGGACTTTGCACGCGACTTAATTAACTGATACTTCTGACAATTTTGATAAAAAGGCCTGCACAATGAATCATAATTTCAGACAATTAAAGCGCCATTTGTTATGGCGTTTCCTTTAAGTGCCAAGTGTAGGGATTTATTCATTGTGAAAAATATAAATGTCAACGTCTGAGTGGCCCGTCTATGTTGCCACGTGATTTGAATCTCTTAATGATGAAACATGACGATGTAAATAGCCACTGGAGCTTAACTTGCATTCAATTGATTTTGAATGCTGTTAGGCGCATTTTACAAACGGGGGAACCTGTAGTTTAAATAAAATCCCACTAAGACTCTACCGAATTTTCTCCTTGTGCAGATGACACGAGATAACATTTATTCTTGATAGTCTAGAACAGCCTCTAGCAAAGCATAGGTTTTCAGCATTTGGGTCTCAATAGTAATTCTGGTTTCCCATAAAGGTGTAATTCAAGAATTTCACTTAGTTTTTAAGGTATATTTTTAAAAATTAAAAAAAATATTCTAGTCTTTAGTGCGTTGAGTGTACGTGCAGTGCATATCACCAAGTTAGTAAACAACTATTTTCATAAAAATTGTGTAGCAAATGTGCGAGTGAAGTTCGTTTAGCTTTATATTATACCCCGGAATCTGTTAGTGTTGACCGAACTCTGGCTTCGACTTATGTCAGTGCAAATAGAAAACTTGAGTACACTGGAAGGTAACCCTCTATCCACCACGCCACTTCGTGTAATGAGTAGGCTGCTTCCTCTTGATCATCTGTTACGCATGATTTTCACCCAACAGAAGTCCCTAATTAACAGGTGAGTTGCTGCCTTGGAAACACATCATTAAGTTCTTCCTCCAAAAGTTGTCTTAGGGATATTGGTTTTATAACTGCGATAAGCTAATTACATTTGATCGTCAACTTACACCGTGTTTAATCGGCCTATCATTGACACCAAACTCATTAAATCTGCACCGTCATGTTTAGAGTACGACGACGGTCGGCTGTTCTGTGGGCCGGTGAGAGTAAATAGAGGTTCCTAGAACGCTTGAGACACAGCTTTCGACTGACAATAGACGTGTTTTATTCAGGCGAAAGTACGGGGATCGATTCAATGGGGCGAGGGAACTACGCAGTCTGTTTTCACCACCAAAAGAGTGAGAATTCAGATAGTACTTTAGTTGTTTCTGTTGGGCAATAAGGATGTGCACTTTCTTGACGTTTAATCCCTGTTATACAAACGATTAATAAGAAGGCTGAAATACACCGGCCGTTGTGCGCTTGCTGATATTCTGTGAAAACAGCCACTGCTGGCAAGGTTCAAGGATAACTTTGGTGGGATAATCAAAACGGTAATTTTCCGATAAAAAGTTGATCACGTTATCAGTTTGAATATAAGGGATTTCTTAGAATACAAGTGCTTATGATGAATAGAGCCACCTTGAAATTGAACCACTCGTTCTAAACAAGCAAAATTCTATATCCTTTTAACTTTCATTATATTTACAGTCTTCATTACCTAACGAAATTGCAATCGGGGCTGAGGTTGGGTTGTTGGTACATTAATCTTTGATTTTGACAAATTAGCCAGCTTCTCTAGTGACCATAGTTAAGCTGAATATTGATTGTTCGGGATTTAAAGCTCCATAGTCGAAGACTTAGTGAAAATTAATCCATGACTTTTCAAACTATCTAGCCCACCCAATTGCTTGCTTAATTCTGATAGGCTTAACGAATGAGCACCGTGCATTAGGGAGTGTACGTAGCGCCACGGCAAGACGTGGGCATTGGCGACTCTGACCAATCGCCTTTTGAGTAGCCAAACAGGAAACGCGTGCGGGTAGGGAGAGCAGCAGCAGCAGCAGAGGCAGCGGAAACATGGAGAATAGGGGGAGCGCGGTCTCCCTTCTCCCTCTCCCCTTCTCTGTGTCCATCCATTCATGCTTCCTGAAAGACAGGAAAGGCAGTGCAGGTGAGTGTAAAATTAATCTCAACCGGACACTGGTTGACAAGAGCACAACCTCCTCTGTGGTGTCCATTCAGTGCCTGCGCAGAGCCGTACACACGTTGGCCTAATTTTCCCCATTTCCTTCCGCAACATAAGACCGCTGCTTCTGGTGGTTGAAGCTTCAGTAGTTGCTACCGCAGTATTATCATTACTCGAGGGCTGCCTAGGATCTCCCCGGAAATCCTGTTCCGCTGATTTGAACACAGACGCACACATACAAACCACGAAGATCTTGATCTCTCCCATAGTCTGTAATAAATTGTTGATCGCATACTTCCTTCCGTCCCTTCTCAACAACTGACAGCGAGGAAGAGAAACTGAGAACAGGAACTGGATTTCCTGTTTCTGACTGCATACAACAATTCCATCAGAGCTGTAGAACGGAAGTCCATTTAATCTCTATGGTAAGAGGCTATTTTTCAGATATACTTGGTCTACAGGTTTATGTATTAACAAGTGACTAAAAAGAACTCGAATGGGCAAAACTTATCTGCACAAAGTTCTCCTCCTTTTGATTCACGCAGTGGGCCAGTTAACCTTAAGCCTTTGTTCCGATGCAATATAATACTGATTATAATTTAACAAAACATGTTCCACATTAACAATTTAAAGGAGAAAGCAGTTAGCAGTCCGAGCTGGTTTACGGCGCATTTATTCATCACTGATGTTATACTCTCGGACATGACGGTTGTAATTAATGACTACAACTACTGCTGTCCCATCGGAACAGACGTGAGGAGGGTAGGTGGTGCGGTGAAGTTAAAATAAGGTCAGATTTACTAATCAAAATCATTGTGATCTTACAAAATGAAGCTTCCTATTTCGGTGAACAACCAAGTATTGCTGATTTTACACCCGCTTAGGAGGCGACAAACCCAAATCAAGAAGAAAACCTCGGTTATTCTTCCATCTCTTCTCCAAACACCACCCCAAAAGCCACCAACCCAACGACCATAAGTGCAGACCACCGGCCGAAATACCAATTCTCTTCAGTTGTAAATAACAACTCGGAGTACTTTCCGACTCCCTCCGAGTTCACAGGCGGGGCCTACACTTCCTATTCCTCCGACGGGGTCATCGGCTACGAACAGGATCCCCGAGTGAATGTTTACTCAAACATTATTCGACCTCAAACAACGACCTCGTACTGGGGCGAGGGTGACCCCTACCAAGGCGGCTATCATTTGCAACACGCCGTCGACGCTGCACCACCCTACCATCTTGCTACAAATGCAATCTACCCCTACGCTTCAAACTACCAGGGCGGCTGGCCCAATCCAGCTTGTCACTATGGCAGACCAACGGGGACAGCGCAGCCATCCAGAGTGGTTGGGGTGAATAACACGATGTTTTATGCCGCACGGGCTCGTCGCATGCGGACCCACGGGGGCCTAATGAGAGCAGAGGCAGGAGGTGAGGGTGGAGGGGACAGAGACAAGACACGTGGGTCGCCTTCCCCAACAAACTCTTCGAGGGTTTCTCAAGGGTCACCGACGGTACAGTGGAGACCACAAGGTTAGTTGGTCACTCTAATAATGAGCTTAGTGGCTCATATGATCCCAGATGTTCAAAATTAGACACATTAAAAGTTTAAGTTTAGGATAGGAACTCGCCAAATAATGGAAGTGCATTGAATTTTGCGTGCACCTGGATTTTTCTCAAGTCGATTAAGAGCCTGACGATGCACATGCACTTAAAATTAAATTAAACTCTTTCATCTTGGTGCCAGATGTATTTTCAGGGCAGTCAAACCGAAGAATAGCTTATATCATTTGCAGCTATAAATTTCTGTGTACGGAAGCAGAAAGTACTTTGAATTTGCTAGAGACAGATAAAAACGTGGCGTCAAACCAAGTTTCTCTTGTCTACACCTCTTATTGGGTCTACGCACACTTGATGACAATCATTATACCGATTTATTACGAATGATGTATGGCCCTACCGGGCTAGATGAAGTCAAAATTCAATAATACTGTGCCTCTGGCGGTGTTATTTTGACTTACATGGCATGTGCGCATTGCCTCCAACTGCAGTGACTTCAAGAGTGCACATCTACCTGCCTTAAATTCTGTTAGTAAAAACGGAAGTCGGAAGGTAACGACAGGGCACCTCTCTTTCCCACCAGAGTTAGACCGTAATATGGGGCGATTCCCACTCCACACATTTAACCCTAAACCTCCCCCCCCGCGCCACCACGGAGTCATTTCCTGAGGGCCCGTAAGTGTGTTGGCACAGGCATGAGGGGGGCTGTGATTTCCTCTTGTGACAGCAGATGCCCCCAATACCACGGCTACAAAAAGCACAGGATAGACGCAGAGCACATGGGTGTAGTAGGGGTCTTTGGTACCCTCCCGTCATCCGGAAGCCAATACGCATTTTGAGCAAAAAATCTGCTGGTACCCACCAAGTTCCCACAAAGGACCCACACACAACCGTGGAGGTGCTGATGGTAGTGAGGCATGGACAGTTCCGGCACATCGTGGTGCCCCTTTCTTCCTCCGCCTTCTCCTCCTCGTCCTCAATCCCTTGTGAGAAGTTCCTGCTGAGCCAAGCTGGTGGTTAATTTCTATCAGCGCACACACGTAGACAGTATTATTCACATAACAAAACATTTAAGGCACGATCTCAGTCGATTGTCAATTCCAAAGCTCCGAGTTGACCTGCACGTCAGAGTCCGACTTCCAGTCCCCGTAGTGTATCACTCGGCTTGACGCGTCGTTTACCGGAGTGTAACTCATCAAATCCGAATGCATTCTTTTGTGCGAGTCAATGCCCGATCAAAAAATCGTTGTTTTTGAGGGATTTGAGTGTCCACAACGACGTCCTATGAAACTGGAAAGATCGGCATGGCATCAGTAATGCCACCAAAACAAGTTCAAACGCTTCATTCGAACCTGTGAAAACCATCGTCAAATGACACAAACGGGACGTTTGTTGCAACATTTGATACAAGGAGCTTGAGAAAATAGACGACTTAGTTACAAAGCCAGATTCCTATTGAAATTCTAATCGCCTTTACGGATAACACAAATTCGGAAAAGGGCACCATGACTAGGGAAAGATACCGGAGACAAAAATGTTTGTAGTAACATTTGATTTTATTCGCCTGTTATTCATACGAACAGCCTCAAAACAATTCACGATTTAAGCATATACCGTTGATAGCACAGACTAAGTATTCACTGTTTAGTAATATACAAGGGTGGCTCTGATTTTGATTAAAAAATGGAACTTCAAAAAACTCTAGAGGAAGTATTTCATTGACGGCAACAAGAAGGCAAAAGTTGACCGAAATTACTTTTTTTTCAGGATGCGGATGAGGAACGCAGTTGCTGATCTGTGTCTGTAAAAACGGCCACTAGAATTTAGATCATCTAATATATCCGTTTTGGCCAGCAAAACAAGATGGCGGATTTAATCTCCATACGTTAGAAAATGTACTAGCTTATTACGGTCAAAAGCGGTTATTTAAACTCAGTTTGGTGCGCCATTAAGGATATCTATCCCCAATCTTTTGCTACCCAAGCACAAGTTTTGCTTGGATTTCCAGTTGTAATATGGCCAAGTCTATCTAAACGCCTCTCTCTGGATGTGTATCACATAACCACACTTCCAAGTAGTTAACTGGCTTTGTTTGTGCAAACACATGACCCAATTGTTCACCAGTTTTTCGACCAACATCAAAGCGAGTTTGGGTTTTTTTCTAGGGTCTGGACAAATCCAATTGTGGCAGTTTTTGTTGGAGCTGTTGGCAGACAGCCGGAATTTGGCGTGCATCACGTGGGAGGGCACGAACGGCGAATTCAAGCTGGTCAACCCCGACGACGTGGCGAGGCGCTGGGGCGAACGCAAGTCCAAGCCGAACATGAACTATGACAAACTGAGTCGCGCCCTGCGTTACTACTACGATAAAAACATAATGAGCAAGGTGAGCTTGATATGACGTGCTTCATAAATAGTTTTAATGCCCTGTGGCAAAAAAAATTTCCTTTAGTGCAGGGTCTCAGTCAGGTTCAGGGTGCATTGTTCGTGGGCGATAATTAGAATGCACGCGGGTTTTTATTATTACTACGAAGTGGCCAAGGGACCTTGCCTTATTTGTAACAGGTTGGTTAGGTTATATCGTGATCATTCGCCACAAATATCTGTACTCACAACACTAAATACTGCTGTTTCCACGATAATTCCCTTAATTGAAGTCAAAAACAACTTCTAGGTAACTCTATTTTAACGCACTCGAAATATCTGCAAAATGTGACTTTTGGAAAGGGTACCTGTAGTTGGTTTTGACACTTTGGAACATTTACTTTTCAGGGGAATAAATAAAATTAGTGAGTAGGATAGAAATAAAGAGAATTAAATTTATGTAATAAACCTATAAAATAAGTACAGAAACCAAAAGAAAGAGCATACAATCGATGGCTAAAACACTAGTTTTAATGCATACACCTAATTGGCTAGTAAACGCGCTCCGCCTGCCCTTCTCTTAGTGGTGATTGGATGCAAACCGGAAACCGCGAGTGTCACGCTCACCCCTCAATTGTTCTATTGGTTTAGAAGGCCAAGGGACACGTTCCAAGTCATGTCCAAAAGTGCAGCTCTGGGGAGAAAGTTAAAGTGTTTGAAGATAAATTTTTTCACAGGTGAAACAAGCGCACAGCACTGACGAAAAAAAAGTAACCAGCAGCGTCATCCTTCCCTGTTAATAAACGCCTTCATTATTAGCTGATGTAATTTCGGTTCAGTGGCGTTTGATGAATTTTAAGTGAAAGTGATGTCATATTGCAAGTTTAAAGTAAAATTTACAGCAATGTGGTTAGACGAAGCAAAAAAGTCCAATTCTTGGTTAGTGGAATACTCACGACATCACCGAGTGCAACCTGCATTACAATATTTGCATGTGAGAAAAACACAAGTGCTGTTAGGGCTCAAGTGCACCTCAAAGCATTGTTGGGATTTTCTGATAGAAATCACTGTCTTGCTTGGGTGTCTACTTCCTGGCTTCTAGACGATAAGCGCTGCGTCCCATGGCCGCAGTTATGAAGTTTGCGTGAACCTACCCCAATGCATTGAGTTATGCAGAGAGAGGGAGAACTTTAGCCTGTGGTGAAGTCTAGGTCATCTGATGGGTCATTTGAGTATGTACATCACAAAAATATTATCCTCATTTGTTTATTTGCCATTTTATGTGATAAAAATTAGTTGGAAGTTTTAACTCCTAGTGGCAGCATTAAAAATCCCTGTCCATTTGCAGGAAGTGTGATCTAAAACGGATCCGCACCTGAAGTTTACATGGAAGGATACATGTACGCTGAAGGGTGCTGGTAAAATACCCCAACGCAAGGTGAAAATTTGTTTTGAATTTTCTCAGGTTCATGGAAAGCGATACGCCTACAAGTTCGACTTCACTGGCTTGGCTCAGGCGATGCAACCCTCCGCTTGCGATCCTTCAGCGGCCTCCACTGCATCGATGGGTCTATCGAGCCTCGGCGGGGAGACGTCCGCATGCTTCCCTCGAGCTGGTGAGTCCAGTTCTCCCGAAAGGAAAAACCCCAAACGGCCCCGTGAGCTCTCGCCCCCACCACCTTCGTTCGAAGAGCCCGACTCAAAGCACCAGTCGCACTCCCCGGGTTACCACAACTCGCAGCAGTTCCTCGCAGCGCGAGCTGCCGCAGCTGCTGCGGCCTGCTTCTTTCCAGAAATGCACCAGCCGACGTCAGTCGTGAACTCCTGTTACGAGGGGCTGGAGAATTACCACCAGCCTTACCAGGTCTATGCGAACACCAACGCAGGATACCAGCCGCCTTTGTCGTTGCAACAGAACCCCTTTATTACTACAACGATGGGACACAATGTCGAGAATCTGACGAACACAGTGTCTGGACAGACACCTAAATGACACCACTTGAATGTTCCTGTAAATTGATTATTTAACCCAGTTTTTTAATGCCTAACCATGACGATGCATCAGATAATTTGTTTAAAGTTAGAAAGAACATTGGACTGGCATGAATCTGACAAAAGCTCTGTTAGTGTTCCCACAAACTGATCGTTTCCCTCCAAATGTCACCCAAGCAATAAATGATGACTCAGGATGTTTTTACAATACACAAATATTGAAGTCCTGCTAATAGTTTCATAAGCAGAGTTGTACTTGTTTTATAATACGCAAAAGTAAATAAAAGTTTTAAAAAAATTAATGATAATTCTGGTGCTACAAACTAAAAACATCAAACAAAGCTCATGGTCTCGATGGTTTCGTGGGGCTGAGTTGAGCTAATCCTTTCCTTCCACCGAGTTGCATTGGCTTCTTTTTCACAAACCTATCTTTGAAGCGAGGGCATCCGAACAGCGTATCTTTAGCCCCGAATTGAAGGTAATGTTGAAGCTCACGTGGTAGACAAGACATAACCGACCAATTTGAAATTAGACAGGCAGATCTTCCCAAGTTTAGCCGAAAGTATAAATCTTTGTACAGTTCTAGCAAGGGTTTGGACGAGCTTAAGATCACACCAATGGAAAATTAAGCAACACTAAACCATGTAATTCAGCTCAAGAAAACGGGCCCCGATCCAATTATAGACCCACTACCGTGATTCTTGTCACCGAAAACCAAGACTTTTACAAATACTTTAAGCGTTTGCCACGCTGACCCTATTTGAATCTGGTCTCAGGCCATGTTCACATTCTGGTTGTATGAGGAAAATACAACAGGAGTTGGAATTAAAGTGCCCAGGAATCAAACAAACATGGAAACCAGCTTATTTAATGATTATACTTATTGAATATTAGTGTCAGCCGAAGACCTCATTCATGAGATAGGCAGGATAAAACTCGATCACCTTATCTCCAAATTTCGGACATTTACTAATCAGACTGGAAGAATTTCATGGGATGGTATCATTAAGCACTTAGAAGACATGAGACAACGAGCATCTGAAAAAGCACGTATGCCACAATCCCCTCCTGGGTCGTTCTGATAGTACTAATTAAACTAGACCGCAATTTACGGCCACTAAGCATCGGTGTGAAGCCTGCGATAGAGCCCACCCGTTGTACGGACAATACTAAGTCCGCCGTCCCGGTATTGCCTTAGGTAGCGCATTATCACACGCGGTATCCTCCACATGAAAGAGTAGACGTGGAGCCCAAACAATTTTGCGGACAGTTGGAGTTGATCGCACAGGCACAAGTGCTACCACTCGCATCAAATCTCGCCGTTTCGCCAATAACTCACGAGCTAGATGGACCAATAACTAAGCGGTCTATTTAAGGGCATCTCAAATCGACGCTAACTATACTATAACTACATGCTCTGTGAGCTGATAAAGAAGCACTCAACTGTAACAGGACTTCTTTTGAAAAAAATGCGTACAAAGGTAGTGAAAAATGAAGACAATTAAAAACCCATTGACTGTATTCAAGAGTCAGGATACCAAACCGTGTCGACAAGCTCCAGCACATGGCAGTGAGGGGTTAAAGATCCTAAAATAAAAAAAATACATTACATTTACATATAATGCTTCTACTAGAAACAAATTTAGTAGAATGTCTTTCAAGTCCGTGAATGTGAATAATTCAGGTGGGGAAAGGAGACCAGCACTTGCGGAATCAAGGCTAAAAGAGATAGGCAACGGCCACACAGATTAGGAGTTGAGAATGAGCGAGGGGGTAGAATCCTATGCGTCAACTGAGGTAATCTTTTTAGTTGCATTATTGCGTCAATTTAATGTTATCGAGATTTTAAAAAGACACGACATTTTGGACAAGCTGCAAGTTCACATTAGTTGGTAATGTTCTTGAGTAGGATCGCATACGAGAAGCAAAATAAAAAAACTAGAACGCCCAAAAAAGGATAAATTTAGTCGACTTATCAGGCATAACGAAAAAGCACCCGAGAAGTCGACTAAAAGTGATCTGAGAGCTAGACCTGGCGCGGAACTGCCCGATAGGGAAGTACTCGGTCCGATAGGAGATTTGTCAGGTGGATTGGAATCCTACTTACCAAGTAATGGATAGGACACACAAATGGTAAAACGGAGACGCGATAATGCACTTTAATTGTGCTCACCGTCACTTGAAAGAAGGCATTCGTAGACGAGGTGCTTTTCCGTCTTAACCGGTTTACTGGCAGAGAATCGTACTATCCAAATATCAGGAGTAAAACTACAAGGTTTAAGTTTTAATTCAAGAGAATGCATTTAAGAAAAAAAAATCATTAAGTCTCTTGTTCACTGAAGAAACGATAAGGTAACATCGACGTCTACGCATAAACCACCCTAATTCGCCGATGACACATCAAAAACTGTTCGGTACAGATTCTCCCTTAATTTATCAGAAACATTGCACTAACTTTAACAAGAATAATATCACATTTGAAGATTTCCGGTAGTTAATGAAACCACGACACCACGGCCGTATGAAGGGAGTCGCAAGTGTAAAATTATAAGCATTTGCGGGAGTTTGAAGAAAGGAAACGTTAAAGCAAATTAAGCTGCAATTTCAACATAATTCTAGTTTAACATTTGTCCTTTTTTCTAAAACTAGCATCCGGATGAGTTTTTAGGTGTGGTGACATGGAATATGTTGATTTAAAACAAAGGGAAATGGAACAATGAGGTCAACGCTTGGAACTACGACGACCCCAAAACCCGCATGACGTGCTAGTAACAAAAGTAAGCCATTAAGGATGGATTATGAGAGCGAGTCCTTGGAAAGCAAGGAGCAATACCTCTAAGACGCGCCAAATAAAACCTCTGTTTAGACCAAAATGGCGCTAATGTTTGACCCTACTAAACAAAACAGTACTCATTAAATGACGCTGAAGTGTGCGAACTTACTTGCCAAGTTGTGGAATTAGATGAGTGAGAGGAGTAGTGCAGGTGTGGGTGTAGGAGGGTGCGTCGAGCTCCAATTCATCGGTCTCCATTACGGAAGGAAACTCAGTTTTTGAGGTCTTTGTGTCCAGCAAAAGAGGCCTAAAGAAACAAGCACAATGCAAAAAACCTACACAATTCCGACTGGAAGGGGGGGGATGAGCCAGTACAACTTCCATGGCTAAAAAGGCGCAATCACATAGACCAGAAAAAAGTCTCTAACTGCACAAAGTGCCTAATTCCTACCGTATTTCCGTTTCCACAACAGAAGCTTGAATGACACTGCTCAGAGCAGCGGCCATGCACCCAACTTTGTAAAGGTGAAAAAGCAACAACAGGCGCTTTTCCAGGCTCATGTTGTCAGTGAAGTTCATCGAGACAAAAGCCTTTTCAAGATATGGGGAAACTACAAGTAAAAAGGCAAGGCGGTCAAATCACACAGCGTCCACATAGCAAAAAAATTGTACATCAACAGGTGGGAGGTTCGAGTTCTGCAGCTGTCGACGTCTTGAAAAGAAATCGCTATGGCTTGGCACAAACGCCTCGCAATTTTGTTGGTTCGGAACAAGCAGACATAATGCTACATCTCCAACAGGCATTTTAAGTCACACGTTTAACACTGTCACCGGTGGAATAAAAGTTGAGCTTGCACAAGTATCATGCAGCTCGAACGTCCGAGAGGTGCGGCTTTGAAATGCAGGATGCCGTGTAAATGGCGAATAAGATCAAGGGAAAACTTATCGTTTGCTGTTACCGAGCATTAATCGGCACAGCAAAGGATGGTGTTTCGGACCGAAGCTAAGGCGGTTCTTGACGGATAGTGATAGTAAATACAAAAAATCAAATTGAAAATGCAGCCATAAACTGTCACCTACGCTTTGTTTTGAGGCAAAAATACATGTGAACTAGGAGGGAACAATTTTCATCATTATACATTCCAGTTAGTCAGATCATAAAACTCCGAATATGGCCATTACGATGAACCCTAGAGGAGGAACCCTAGTCACCGCAACAAACCTCTACCGGAAGTTTTGTATCATGGAATGTATTTATAGATTTTCCAGAGAACCATACCAGAGCGAATAACAGCCAGACAGTCGTTCGTGGCCTTATAGATGCCCGCCTCGAGGAGCATCCTGAGACCGGTGACCTCGAATTGGGACTGTTCGCCTCCCCGAAGAGCAACGCATGACCGGCTCAATTTGGCAAATCGCGTAAAATTGTTTGAGCCAATCTAGAAAAAGTGGTAAATGATAGACAAAATTTTGCTAAATAGGGAGTAGAAGTATTAGATGGCTGTACTTACAGACAAAAGGCTGATGTTGTCTTGGAGACGACGCAATGCTAGTAAAAAGCCCTGACGAGCAAGTTTTCTATCAGGAACATCTTAAGACAAACAGGTCAAGCTAAACAGGAAAACAAACCCTTGAGGGCTTCCCAGGTGCGTTCAGTTGAGTCCAAATCTCGCAGTACATGCAAACCTGAGGGGCACTGAATATCACGTTTTCCTAAAAGGTAAGGCTGAGTTTAAAATACCGGTTGGCATTACCGTTGGTCAAATGAGATACGATCGAGCACTCCAATGCATCAGCATTGAAATCACCAATAGGGATCCACGCAGCTTCGTTCTGGTATGCTATGGAGAGCCGCTTGATCCTGTCCAGATCGATCTTGATTGAACTCAAGGGAGAACCGGCGGTGGAAAACGGCGAAATTTGTGTTGTCTGGGGATGGAGAGTTAATAAACTGGCTAGCACTATGGGCATGTAGCTTCATGTGCATGAGCACAGCTTAAAGCAAACTACTAAAGGTGTCGCTTTGAATGGATGCATAACATCTACGGAAGCAGGTAGGTAGCAAGCACTTCGCCGTGGCCGAAGACAAACGAACAAGGCAGACTTGAAGCCACTAGTTTCATTTATTAAAGAATAACCCAATTAAAGATGTAATGCGTGTCGCCTCCTTCCAGGCAGAGGTTTATGGGTTAAATATCAGAAATCGCATCCTAATAATAAGCATTCAGATTGCAAGTCGTTGTAATCGACAGCCCTGACCAGCAAGTCGAAGGAACGGTCTTCACTACCCTCACCAATTTGGCAAACTCGACACCACCAGCATGATGGGCGTGTATTAAGGTACAATGTCAAGAAGATAAGTCAAATTATCGTTGAAGTGACTGCTCTCAGACAAGACGTTGGAACAACACACCCACCTTTCGACATCAGCAGTAAGTCAATTATTTCGTTTTTTGGAGGTACTGTCCCAAAAATCAGCTAAAATGGTTGATTTTCACATCAGGAAAATTAACGAAAGAAGTTAGCAATTAGTAGCAATGTCAAATACATCCAACAAAGAGGTCTCGATTAGAGTTGGGGAATCGAATTTATATACGTGGATGACAAAGTAACAAATAGGGTATCTATCAAGTCTTCCTGTTACATTAACCAATGCGACTCATGTGGCAGATAGACCAGATAACAAAAAAGGTGAGGATTACCACGTGCCCAATAGTGGTACCCTGTGGGTGGGAAAGCAAGCCACCGGTAGGGCAGGTAAAATCCACGTGAATGACGGAAAACGAGAAACTGTAGGTAGCTTCGTATGAAATGGAAACTTCATTCGAAAAGGGCATGAATCGGGTCTCTAGCTGGCTGACTTTGAGTTCCATATCAGGGTCTACAATGGGGCAACAAACAAGGGCTGTTGGTAGACAATAATAAAAATATTAGGTTCATTTTACATGCTTAACTCATGTTGCTTAGTGTCAGCGCATGTTCTATGTATGCCGAATTTCTGGTTGAATAGGAGTACAGATGTAAATAATAGGAGATACGACGTGAGGCATACTCATTATTGTACAAATACATGGCTCCTTTGATTCCCAAGATCAAAGCCCTAATGATTAGGTGATAGCAAATTGAGCAAAACATTAAATCGTTGGCATTCCACACAAGAAGGCACTTACTAGAGAAATGACTAATTATACATTAAGAGTAATGAAGAGCGATTGACAACGCAAAATTATTATCGGAAAAGGGGAAGGAACATATTCATTCAACGAAATTATGAACTCTAATAACAAGTTTATGTGCCCATTGAATCAGGCCGTAAACGAAACACCAACTTTGAATAGTATACGCCCGTAAAAGTCGGCGGCTGTCGTTTGAGGTGCCAGGAAGCAAAGCGACCAATTGGGGAGCGCCTCCAGCAGCTCCAGAGGTAAGAAACAGTGTACCTTCACCGTAGGTCGAAAATGCATCACTAAGAAGAAGAGGATAGCATAGCGAGTGACCGTAATGAAATATTTGCTTGTGTATATCAGAAACAGATAATCACTGGATAACACATTGACCCTGATGTATAAGGGGGTAAATGGTCACGAGAAAGAGGAGCAGCAGTACTACCTCTCTTTCGCACATTTTGCACTTGAAGACCATTTACATACTGAATAAAACAAGGCACAAGAAACGGTGTTGGTAATGAGAAAAAATGGTATCCGGCTTGAAAATGACTAAAGACAGAACTTAACAATACAATGGCCATGAAAATGTAGGAAACACGAATAAGTTAAGCATGGCTCTAAGTGTGAAGAAACCGCAACGAGGACTGTGAAGATTATTGAGGCCAAGAATTGTGTACAACATGTAACAACGCACGGAAGCTCGGTTGGCTTGAGTTGCTTGTACGAGGAATAGTTGAACATTCCAGAAACCGCCGCTGTCTTCTTTAAGGTCAACTGACTGTCAATAACGGAGAGGTTGCACACCTCTTCAAGGTCAAGTGGATTCCCTTCAAACTTCATGGATAATCCGGCCAATGAATCTTCAGTGGCTTGGTTCAACGTATTCGTTAAGTCGCATAGCAGTTGACGTTGTGGAGGAGAAATCTGTTACAAGAATACAAGCATCTAGTTCACTGGCAGGGCATAAACAAACTACTTCCAGTTAGAAATAAAAAGGAATAAATAGATGCCTTCACTTAACAGTTCCCACAACTGGACTTTTGTTTCCCAATTAAAAACCAGGCATGGAGAGCGGTGAAAACCAATAGCTAAAGAACTGTTATTGAAAAATAGAAATATGGATAAACAATTTTCTATTCAAGTGACAAACATTTATATCCATGACAAATTTATTAAATATCAAAATAAAAAAAAGCGTAAAGATATGCAACTTCGGAAAAAACGAGCTGCATTTCTATGAAAGGACGGGTAAAAGAATGCGAACACACCTTGTTATCATCTAAATACTTTGTTGAAACGCTCACACCCAGTTGACGCGTGATAAGTTGCAGCATCTTAGCTTAAGCAGAAACAATAGCCATGTGAACAACACGAACAGGAAAAAAACAATATAACTCAGCACAATACAGCTAGCAAATAACTGGGCACGACATATAGCACTAGGAACGTCATTAGAAAAAAAAGAGAAAAGAACGGCACGACAATCATACAGTAGAATTAGTGTGATGATAGTAAAAGCACAAACAAAAACGAAAGATCCGACCAAAATGATTACAAAGACTGTCACATAGAGAGTTATGGGACGACAGTTCGTTGTGTTATCTTGAAAATCAGAGTGATGAGTGCTTGAAATTTACGAAAGGTGAAAACGAGCGTAAATAGGAAGCAGAAATTCATGTGTTTTTGGATAACTTACAATAGTGTAAAATTAGTAATTTGGAATATTCTGACTATGCAAAAACAGTCACGTCAACTTAGGATGCTATACCAAAAAAGAATGACTTGAGGACGTACATACCGCCCGATACTACAAAAAAGGTAACCGTCATGAACAAACAAGATTTCGCCTTTGTCAGAAATTTTTATATTTGAATATAATGGAGATGTTGTTAATACCGTGGCCTTAGAGTTTAAATATTTTAATCTTAAATTGTTGCAAAAGTAGACAATTTCGTGCACGAAACTATATTCCCTCGAGCAAACTACAATAAAGTTGACTTAAATTCAGCTAATTAAAACAACTTATACAAATCCATATTATATTAAAAACTGCCAGTGTACGTTAAATTCTAAGATTTCACTGCTTAAATTAACGCATAAGACTTACATAACTAAAGGATTTTCGGCAATTTTTTTCGAACTTAAATTTTGGATTAGTTTTTAATACATGAATATGGTTTGACTAAAATCGTCATACGCAAGTCAATAAACTTACGGACTTGTAGGATACAAGTTGCAGACATTACTGACGAGTCAAAAGGTAAAACAGAAAAGCTAATATAAAGGTTTTGAAATAGTAATCCAAGATTAATTTGAATATAAAAATCGTGAATTGGTAGCCTTACACAAAACCTGGAGCTTGTGAATTAATTTTTTTTTAAATTCTGGTTTATACAAAGATGGCAGACCAACGATTTAACATTAAAAGTGGTTACGGCAGTAAATATGTTGTTACATTACTAATAACTAACTGATATTAATTTCTCATGCATAAAAGTAGTTCAGGAAATTATCTCTAAATTCTATCTTAATTACAGTCTGCTGCAATTCAGTAGAAAAATTTCAACAACCTAATAACTTATTGTTCAGTTCGATTAGGACGCATAATATATAATTGAAGATAAAATTAGGAAGCTGGTCACGTATCAGTCATCATCTCCAAGCCGTTTCTACCAATAACTGCAAGTTCCATAATGCACAACAGCATCACAAACTCTGCCATTTTGAGAGGATATTTAACTCACATAGGCTTGTATTTTGATGCTTTGATACCTTGTATCAGATCATTTTAATGCCAGAAAAGACCACTCAAATATTGTCATTTAAATGTGACTTTCAAATAGAGGAAAAAATCTGTATTAATTAGGTCGTACACCAAATAAATTGACTATCAGTAATCATTGAACGCAGTATTTGCTACTTTGAGCTTTTAACTAAGCGACAACCAAGGCATCAAAATACCTATCTTTAATGCCCAAAAAGAAAACGACACAACTTTCCAATTAAAAAAAAATTAAGTCATGAAAATTGAACTATAACAAGTAGATACACACGAAAAAATTGCATGATTTTATTGCATTTCGGTGCAAATTTCTAATTAAATAACTAAAACTAGGCAAGAGCATGTTTTAAATTAAAATAGTTGTATATCTTGTAATTGAACCTATTTTGAATTGCATTAGTTCACCCGCGTTAACCCGGTCACTCCATCTTTCGATAAAACGTTTTTCTTTCCACAGCATGTCGACATCCAGGCGGAACATAAACTAAACCTCATTAGTGAAGAAGATTATCACTACACCTGAGTCTAGGTGTTGGTACCTCTATGATTAATGCTGTTTTCAACATCTGACCTATACATTCACTGGCTCTAATGCAACATACACACACCATTGACTGGGTAGAGTTCTCAAATAAACGGTTGGCACTCTCTTTCCGCTGACTTACTCCTTCTTGGGTGTTTAGTGGTCTATGTCGCTGCAATAAATCAATGACTGCACCGATAACAAATGATTGCTATGTTGACCAAGGACACAGTATTAGAAAATATATTTTCTTGACTAAATGAATTATGACATCAGTAAAAGCGAAAGGGTGACCTGCAAACGCTCATTTGCATCGTTTACCTATCCGGCGACGGTTAGCTGCAACTCGAACACATTCAAGGTTGCAACCAACAGCTCCACCATGCACATGATTACGCAATCCAATTGTCCCCACAAATACGGAAATATATTTATGCTCACAACACTTTTAAGCCAATGAACATACAAAATTACAATGGAAATCTAGTTAAAACTTGCCTTTGTCGCCATATCTATCATATTATTCTCTCTGGATCTCGTGGATTCAGCCGTAAAGCTAAAAAAACATGAACGTTATGAAACATGGTTTTATCGAGCTGAAAACAATGGACCATTCTAAAATTTGACAGGTTTTAAATCTCAATTTACTTCTATCAGTAGTACTTGGAAGTTATTGTGTTCTCAAGAGCCTGACCACCATGATTTGGTCGACAGCATCTAGTCATCGGTGAAAAATTGTATAATTTACTTGAATATTATTGATGTCATTATGTGATTGCAAAGTATTTCCCAGTAATTAAGTTATCTAGGATAAAACTAACAAATAATTTTTACTTATCAAGCAGAAAAAGCTGAAGAGTGGCAAGCTAATTAAGTGGTACTTAATTGATAACAAAATATACTTGATTTTGAGTTATATTATTATATTCTACTTACTGATGCATAGTAAAATTTAGAATCATGTACAATGTTGTAACAGTGTATAATTTAAAAGACAAGCTTGCTTTCGAGCTACACCAAATAATTTTTAAGTCTATAATTTCTAGATGGATATTGAGGTCTGAAGATTTTTATTCACCTTTATTAGAAATGTTACCAGAGTATTATATGACTCTAAAAAGATCATATCAAATAAAGGCTTAACATACTGGATTATTGAGATGGACTACTTTTACTCAATTGTTTCGTGATTACCTACATCAGGATATTGAACTTCCACATAAATTAATCCGCTAACTTAAAAGGCTGAAATTTAAAGTTTCGTAATAGTTTTCCATCACCTTTGATAATATTATTATGGCGTAACTATCCAATACCGCATAAGAGTGCGCTGTTCTTCTTGTGGAAATTTATTTGATCCCTTCGTAGCACACTTAAACCTTCTCTTTGCAGTTGGCGCTCCCTTAAAGTTGCCTTTGGGTGTGATGCCCTAGGTATGTGCATGTTTGTACCTTTCAAATAGCAGATACTTTTGATATGCGTAAAAGTTGCTTATGAGTTAAAGTACAGGGATGTTCTTTCGTCTACCCATGCGTGAGAGTGTTTCTATATGCGTGTTATTCTCGAGTTTTATTTGTGTTCTGTATCTTTTGTTGCTGAACATTATGAGCATCCGTAAAGCCAGATCCGGCAAAATTTATCCCTTAGTAAGCCAAATGGTAGTGGCATTAGTTTGGTGTCAAGTGCTTGACCAATCGGGTTTTTTCCCAAATTCTTGTGTTCAATTTTTCACGTTTATGACCAACTATTCATGACATTGAAGTTAACGCTATCCTTTATATGTGAATCGAGACTGAAAATACATTTAGCTCTCATTTAACTTCATGTTTATGACAGCTGTCGTCTCCCCAGCCATCACTGATAATCTCGTTTGATCTTTAACAATATATTTCTGTTTTCTTTGTTTTGACGGAAATTTTTTGCCTTTAAGGAAATGCAAAAATTTATCATGGATAGTGAATTCAACAATTGTTTTTAATCGACATGTTAAAGCCTGGATTTTTGGACCTACCATCACCTACCTCTTCCGTTCCGCCAGACACGGGCGACGCTTATGGTACCGGCCTCGCCCTCTCAAATGAACATCATCAAGCAATAATAAAATTTCATGACATAAGTCAAAAACCTTACATTAACAAAGTAATCGAAAATCCACCCAGGACCCTCCGAATTAATTCTAAAGCTGCTGACGGTGTCGGGACACTTTTTCATTCAAATGTTACCGTTGAAAACAGCACTGTAACCGATGTTTCTGAAAACTTTTTGGATGATCCATCTGCCTCTGAGATCAATGTTAATTCATCGTCAGGTTTAGTCACCCCTCCCATTCTCTCAGGCGACACTAATAAGCGAACTCTACCCGATAATGTTGGTGCTCTAATTGCCTCTCGCTTAAAAGCGGAGGACCAATCTGATGGAAGAATGACAAATTCAGAAAATTCTCTAGATTCAGCAGTTTCTAATGCACATATAAACGGCATAAAGCAGCCTCCACCTGAATTCCCACCACAGTTTGGCCTCCCATCGCCAACCCCACAAATACCCTCTGAACCGATGACCCTTGCATTAAAGACTGAAGATATGGGGAAATCTCCCGACTCGCTTCACCACGATCTTTCAACACCCACACCTCTGGCTCCACTTCATTTACGAAACTCACCAGAAAAGTCCTTGGATCATGATACCCCTTCCACAGTTTCCCCTCCTGCTTCCCTTCCCGTTATTGCACTGCCTCCATCCGCGTCAAAACGTGATGCTGAGTCAGTCGCTACTTCCCCTCTTTGCGATGATGCTGAGTATGCAGCCGCAGCCAGAGCAGCAGTTGATAGTGTGGTTTGTGCACTGGTAGGTAACAAAACCCCCTCTACAACTGCTTCCTTCGATCCTGCCCTCGTAGGCACAGGGACGGATCGCTTATACTCTTTGAGTCTCGCTCCCATCGGGAAGGCTGAGCCAGTCATTGTCACAGCACCCATGTGCTCACATTCACTTTTACTTGCTTCAGCGGCACAGGCCTCTGCTGAGGGATTGGCATCCCTCACCTGCCCAACCTGTGCTACTAATGTGCCTGTCAAACAGTTAGTGGCTCGTCAGCGGTCCATTGAAGAAGCAAAGCATGTTTGTGACGCGTGTGGACGATCATTCGTGCGAGAAGATAAACTGAAAAGGCACATAATGTCGATTCATACGATGGAGAAGCCACACGTTTGCCAGATATGCACGAAGGCCTTCTCACGAAAGTAAGATTTTTGCTTAGTAGTTAATTTAGACATTCCGATTGCTTGTCTATACTACGCAAATGCACAGTTTCTACTTTTCTTTATTGGGGAGTCGTCCATCAATTGTCTGGATCTGAGTTTATTGCCGATATCCCACCGCTTTTTCCATCAACGTGTGAACTTTGAGTTGTTGCTCTCTGTTAGTATTTACTATTGAAGCCCAGTACACATAGGGGACCTCTGACTTTACTAACACAACTGCTCTCTTTACAAGCCTGTGTTTATCATCGTCGTGGATTAGCCAGTTATTGTGCTTCGTGTTAGATTGATTCAGATACGTTGCGTTGTAACGTATCATCTGACTTGCGTCAGCCTGAGCTATTATTTTAGTCGTTTGTTAGCATTGACTACAGAGTACATGCCACTTCTGTCGTAACTTCCTGACAAATGTGGCCTCTTGACAGAGATTGGCACACTTTATTCTTCATCTTACTTTTCAATCGGGTGTTTTTACCTGGTCTTAAACGTGCGATTAAGAAGAAATCAATGTTTTACTACATGAACTTTTAGTTGCGTTGCTATGGCTAATACACAAGCAAGTCAGTGACACCTGCTTTTGAACCGTTGCAATAGACTGTAGTCCTATGCTGCTTGTCCATCACAGCTCCTTATGGATGCTACTTCTTTTTTTGCCCCAATCATGACAATATTCATCTAATAATAATAATTTCTGTGCGTGGACTAAATTTTTTTGATATTTTAGTTTTCTTAGCTTTTAGCACATCGTACTAATCGCGTTTAAAGGCTTTTTTAAGTTACAGCGACTGTAAGAATTGAATTCTTCATGGGGACAGTCCACGTCCTAGAAAGTTTGTTCAACATCTTTGATGGGCGTTATCACAGTCGATGCCAAGTTTGTCGATTTCAAGAACATACATGGTCCCACTATTTACTGTCATGACCAGATAGGAAATTTATTTGAAAAGTTTTGGGTGGCACAGCATGGACTATGTAATTACATTCCTTCCGTTTGCCCAAGTTCTGGGCGTCTAAACTGTCGCTGGCATCGGTTGCTGCCACCTGTTGGACCTTGGTGCGATTAAAACCACTTTAATGATCTTTTTCGTCTTGTGTGTGGCACTACCAGAATAGTTCATTGGTCAAGGCAGTGATCCCAGTGTGTGACTTTGTTTTATCAACTTCATTTGATCGACGATTAACTCGAACTCATTGCATTATGGTAATGGTGGTGCTACCAAAATGTTCAGCTCCTTGTGATATCTTTACATTTAGCGCACTCCATTCCACAAATTCACGTGGTCATGTGAAGGTAGGTAAATAATAGCAGCTTTGAATTGACGTGGTGCTGTAGTAATATTTCTTTATAACGTGTGTTTCAGGCTCCGATGTAGGACACGAACCCACTCCGGGGCAACCTATTTATTGTGGCCTTTGTGTAACACGGAACAAACTGATCTCATATCTGGGGTAGATTTAAATCGTGATTTTCGTTTAAGCGATTGGGACTATCGAGACTGTCTTGCTCAAGTCCTGTAGCCACTGGACCAATGCACGTCAGGTGGAATGTGCAGTTGTAGGCGGTGCTGGAGGATCGCGCGCAACGATAATCGATATTGACTGGAGCCTGCTGTCCGACGATGTCCTCGTATAATGGAAAACGTGCTTAACGTCTCATTGCACTTGGTGGTAAAATCTTTTCTTCTCGATCGAGCACTCTGAAAGGTCCGTCCTCAATGTGTGAGATAAATTCGTGAGTACGGGTGGACATCATCTTTGGGGTGTGGGGAGTGGCGATCGGTGAATGGGGTTGAGTTTGTTCCCTATTCACCCCATTGTTGTTCCGATAACAATTTCTTTAGAGAAACAATCCTAATCATCGTTTACGGCTTACTTTTGACCTTGTAAACGTTCTACCACGTCATGTTCAAGTTGTGTTTCTTGACCTAGCGGTGGTTGAAAGAACTTAGACAAGGTATTTCATCTTTCGACGGTTATTGAGTCACCATTTTGATGGATAAGCGTCTTGCCATCGAGCGAAACGATTTGCACAACTGAGCATGTAGCGAAAACCTTTCAGGTGTGTAATGCTCCCAACATTTCAAAATGCACACGATCCGGGGCTTTGAACTGTGCTAGTGGTGCCTTGATATGCTTGTCTGCATTTAAGATCTGTCAGCTTACGCGATTTCGCGTCTACTGCTTTACGTGTCAAGTGATGTCTAGCCACAGCTACCGTTTCTATATCAGTATTCTTGATGCCATTTGATCCGGGTGAACAAAACCGTGGATTTGGTGGAAAACCCGTTTGTGTGTGTTTGCGAACGAAAGGTCATTGAACACTAATTGAAATGTCCCAGTCGATAATGCTGGTGGGTGTAAGGAGCCGGATTTTCACTAGCTTCGAGGCTTCTTGTGGTTCTGAATCAACTTTATGAGCAATCTCTATATTCGTGAACTACGCTTGTAACCAGGTGTGTATTTAGTTGTTGTACAAACAGGCGATTGCATGCAATTCAGCGTTGTCTGTGCTCAAGATGTGGCGGATGCCGTTAGCGAAATAAAGACTACAATTCAATTCAAATTCTTGAAACTTATCGGGAATTTGATGATTGGTAAAAGCCAGCGCATTGCGGCCGATGTTGATATTAAATTGCCTGAAGTGTTTAACTGCAAGACAGACTGCCACGGGTTCACAGCCAAAGGCGTTGGAACACTTTTGGGTTTCAGCTGGGTGGCATGTCACTTGAGCAAGCGTCCTTTGTCAGACCAGGTCTGCAAGATGTCCTTGGGTGCAGCCACCGCAAGAAAACTGCCCCACGTCCAAGTGTATTTTAATTCCACGGTCGGCAACAGCCGCCACCCCAACCAAGTCCTAGCGTTCGCTTGCCCGAATCGCCTACATATGGGATAGTGTGCGCGCGTGCCCGTTCTAGCGCAAACGCGTATGCATCACCTGATTGGCTTCCATCACCCCTTTCATTGATGCTGTGACTACCCCATGTGCGTGTGCGCGAGAATTGGCAGGCACGCGTCCTTCGGTGCATTTTCACTTCGCCAGACTGTTCTACTGTCGGTTAGTGGTGCGTTCGCTAGAGTTCCCTTCGGGGTGGCGTGGCAAAAGATTACCAAACCGTTTTTCTGACGATAAAGCCTTTAGAATGCGTTGTGGTGCACGGCGCCAACTTTGGCATACTTTGTGTTTGTAGTTGAAATCTCTACCACCCGCAAGCTTTTCTATAATCCACCCCCACTTTCAAGTGATAGAATGTTTGACCCGTTTTATAGACTGAGCGGAGTCCACCCAAACTCGAGCTATGTGGTAATCTGAACCTTTTAATAGCTCATCCGGCTTTGTAGTCCTATCTTCATAAATTTGAATACTCCTTTTAATAACACATCGCTTGGTGATCATGGCGAAATCTCGGTTCCAACGGTATTCTTGGAAATCGCGGATATGCGAACACACCGCTGCTGATCACATGTCCAACCTTCCTCATAGCTGTGGCGTCTCAAGATAGTGAAGGGCGAAGACCTCTTGCCGCTTTGTGTGCATGCTATTATGACGATGAATCAGATTAACTAAGCGCAATTCCTACCGGGTCTTGGTATGGGCAGCTAAGTGACTGCGAAGTGTCAATGCAAGTAGCTTTCATAAGATTTTGGACCAATTTTTTTTCTGATCGTGTCTGCAACCTGCAGAGTGCAATCATTCCTTATAAGCATAATCGATAAAGTTGCTGATTGGCAGAAATTAGGCGACAGAACCTCGGAAATCGTCGAATATTTGCCTCTTGGAACTGGTAATCGATGGTTAATCATGTTCGATGAAAACGTCCACTCACATTGATTCCTCATACCCTTGGAGTAGCTGTGACCGTAGAGGCCTCATTTTATAAATGTTTTTAGTTGTAATTAATCTCCCGTCAAATTCCTTAATTAGAATACGTAATATTAGCTGGTGGTTGGAGGATTTGTCTGCAGTAGAGGCATTTCAACCAATCGCCTTACATTGTATAATCAAGATAATCGCGTCTAATGAGTTTTTACTTAGTCCCTATCCTTTTAAACTGCGGTATTATCATCATCTGTGTCCTGGGTTTGAGGTGCTTTTTGTATGAGTTGGCGTCATACGTTTCACGAAAGCATCGGGCTTTTTTGCGAATTTTGTATCAAGGTCATAGGCCCATTGACCATTGAATCATACGAGTCCTAACAGTTTATTTTTTAACTCGTTTCTGGAAGTCAAGGTGAAGGGCATGGGTTGGACCCCCGCTTTATTGAAACAATTTTGCCCCTAATTGGGGTGTCATCCCGACCGCCAAATCTGAGGACACAAATTAGATACCAATAACTCCTATTCGTTATTTAGGGATAAGCTGAAGGACCACCTGCGCCATCACGACAGAGCAGCACGCACCTTCGAATGCTCCCAGTGCCTTTCACCGTTCGTGCAAAAGTCCGACCTCAACCGCCACGTTCGCGGTGTCCACCAGGGTGAGCCCGGCGTTGGGATCAACATGACTGTGCGTCGCAGAGTACCCGGTAAGTGATCTCACTTTCTATGTGGAAGCCTCCATCAACTTCCCTGTTTCACAGAATTGCGAATTCATTATTACCTTTCGTGTTGATGGCAGTAACCGTATAAATCATGTTGCTTAATACTTGTCACTGCGTAAATATGCGGTCCTTGATGAATTGCTCTTTTTGGTCTGTTTGCTTGATCCACAACGAGGAGTGTTTTAATCAAAACCTTACTATTATTGATTGTTTATGTCATTGTTTTGTAAGTCTTCTGAATGGATCGCTTTGTTCGGAATTATTATGCAGCAGCTTTTCTGTTAATTACTGAATGCTTGTGGCGTTGTCTGTCCTTAAAAATCCCACACGTGGGAAGTAAGTTACCAGAAATTTCCGCATACCATCGTGACAAGAACAAACTTGCCTTAATTCCAAAATCTCAACATTGTAGCTATGAGAATAACGCAAAAACGGTGCGCCGTTGAATTTAGTAAACCGCAATTTTTTTTTCACGGAAAGCGTACTGGTTCTTCGTGTTGCGTTGTAGTGTTTAAACAAGACCCAGGTTTGCACCAAAATACGTAGTTTGTGAAAATCGGAGGAATGAGGAGACAGTACTATATGCGAAAAACACGATAATGATGTGGGACCGTCGTGGTAATGCCGTGTTGCCGCGGAACCATTTCTGAAACTATTTTGTATTCGAAGTAGCTATCTCAATTGGTGAAGCAATGGTGTCGGTAACCGTAAATAGCTAAAAATTCACGACTATTGTTGTGGTTCAAGTGCTCTCCGTGCCACAAGAACATCAAAGGGTCCTTCACGCAATGGTTGAAGATGATTACGCACCTCATGTCATCAGACAAAAAAAACAGGACTTATTTTTCAACTGTGAATTGATATACCAAGGCACATTTGACATAATGGTGTTTATTACTGTAGGATGTCAACAAATCCATACAACTTTCGGGGAACAGCGCTCTCAAATTCACTTGAGTATCGTTTTTTGCTTGCAGTGTCTTCAGCCAGTCAAAACGCTATGCCAAACATCAATTTTTGAGGGTTTGAGCCGATTTTTGTTTAAGACATTAGACGGGGGCACAAAAGCGGCCCCTTAGGTTGTCGACAGCGGCACCCGACCGCCATCTTTGCTGATGCGATGCGTTTAAACCAAATGAGTGCTGCGGGTCGCGGATGCAGTCGGGCCCGCGCTCACACGTGTGGGCGTGTGTGCGATCACGTGGCTGCCCTTCTCACATTAATTCTGTTCAGGCTCACACTTTCGAAACTGGTAGTGTCTTTCGACGTCGGAAAGAGGGTCAGTCAAAAATCCTTTCCAGCAGTCGCTCAGATTCTTTGTTTTCACTTTATGCCTCTCCACACTCGTTCTCTGACCAAAATGTGGTTTTTTTTCATTCTTAACGGCAGTGCATAATCACATTCAAGTGCAACCGCTTATGTGTCCACCTGGATTCAACGAATCCATTTACTTACGTTGTTTTTTTTTCTACGTACGTATATGGAATCGCATTGGTTTTATTCTGGCAAAATGAAGCAGAGAGTGGACCGTTTGTGTAAGCTAGCACAAGCTCCTTTAGCGTTATCGCCGAGGTCGTCAATTGTTGGCTGCAATCAATCGCTGTCGCAATCACTCAGTTTCCAACATTTCTCATCGGTATCTCATGGTATAAGTGTGTGTACCGATAAGCAATTATGTAACTTTGTTTCTAGTGATTTCTTCGCATGCAACTCTTAGTTAAAATCACGTACTTATGCTCTAAGACCGTAATTGTGTCACCCGAAACTGGCAACATTCCATTAAAGCCATGGAATCCCGGAATCACTTCTGTTTTAAAAAGTGTGGCAATGCCAACTTGCCAACAGTGTCACGTAGTTTCGTTGGTCCATACTGTGCCAATGCAATGAACTTCGTTTATTCTAAAACACATTTTGTGCATCACGTATGTTTCGCCGCACTTGTTTAAAGCACTAATTCTTCGTCTCCCAGGTTCCTCTCCCCCGTCTCGACCATCAAAGAAGAAAAAATCTTCTATGGGAGCTATTGCCGCTTCTTCTGATGCTCAATCCGCGGTAACCACAACAGTGTCCCATTCGGTTGGTAAGACAGCTGAGACAGCACTAGCGCTGAGGCTGTTCGGTGGCGCAGGTCTCTCCACAACAACCGCGACCACCGTGCCAACAGTCCACCCGACTGTTGCCACCGTGCCCCAAAACCAGGCGGCGGCTCAGCAGCTTCACCCACACCAGGTGCTAGCGGCAGCCAGCATGGTGCTGCCATACTACCCTGCACATGGTGGACACCATCAATTCGTTGCAGCGGCACTCACCGCCTCGCCGCAGAAACCCACCCCCGAGGCTGTCGCCAACCCGGCTCTGCAAGCCCAGCAACAAACGGCTCAGCCACCGGCACCCTCGATGATGCTCCTCACAAGGATTGCGGCTCACGCAACCAATCAGACTGCACCCGCTATCGCTGTTGTTGCCTCGACTGCTGCGTCAGCGGTAAGTGACCCGATCCAAATCCAATCTGCTTTGGTATTTCCATATTTCCCCCATACCCCTAGTCTTAATACATCGGTACCAAGTCGTGGTGTAAAATGCATTATTTATTTCTGATACCTGCGTCTGAATATTATAGTCGTCTGGTCTCTACATTTACCCTGCGTACACCGCCCCCTATGTTGCTTCCTCCATTGATGAGTTGTCGTGTTTATTGGCCATTATGATGTCAGTTTCAAGCGCCGTGGCAGTTATTTTTTTGCTGTTTTGTGGTCTAGTGGACTGTCGTCTTCCCTCTTACCCCCGTAGTGCATGTGCCCGCACACCGCCTTAGCCCTCGCACAATTTCACCGCTTTTGTGCATTCTCGGGTCACATTACACGGACTGATAGGCTCTTTTGCGCTCACTCAAGGTGTTTAATTTCTTGCCGTTCCAGCTCCAATAGTTGTCAAATTCAAGCACACCCAGCAATCGGCGTATTATGCAGTAATTGTGCGTTTCATCGTATGCATAGGCTGAAATTGGTGTGCCAGGTTAAGTAAGAAGCATGGTTACTTCAGACAGACCCTCAAGGCTCTGGTGAGGTATGCAGTCAGGAGTTTGTGAACTATAAAGTCCTCGTCATGAAAACACTATTTGTGTCCGTTCGGTCTTTTTTGGATGTCTCTATCATTAAATCGCAATATTGCATAACAATCCTTACGAGGCTGGTTTAAGTGAAGTACCAAATCACTTAATCGGTCACCTATTCTCGTATTTCGTTAGCCTTTTGGAGACATTGCACCTCTTTCCGACCCAAGGTCGTTTACGGATAATCCTAGAGAACTCTTCGTTTCCGTATTTCGATCGTGTTACGTTGTCCCTGTGGTACAGGTCGAGGCATTTTTTGTATGTTGTGGGAAACCAGCCACATTTCCGCCGCTTAGTGCTAGTAGCCACCATTAAATGCAGGTGTTAGTGGTGCCTCGTCATGCCTGGTGGAAATTCTAACCATTAAAACTTTATAATGCTTAAATGTGCAAACCTTTTTAGTGAATTCCTCATGGTATTTCTTAGCTGAATGTAGGTTTTGTGGGGATTGTTTCAGTACTCCTGAATGCCATCTCTCCAGGAAATCCTTCTTCTCTATTACGTCATGCTGTTATTTGCTAGTTTTTGACCAAATTAATCCAAAGTATACATCCCGCTCCTTATGGAAGACCTCAGCTTGAAGCCGGATTTTACCACACGTCTTTTGACTATCGCCCTTTTTGGTTCCATCTGGCTCCAGGCAATACGCATGTAGCGAAGGAAATCGTGCACTTTTCTGTTTGCAGACGCCCACAACACAATGCGAGGCGACGATCGCAACGACAGTCGGTTCAGGCCAACAGGCGGAACACCAACAGCAGCAGCAGCAGCAACATCAGTTGGTGGCACAGTCCCAACTACCCCAACAGCACTACCAGCATTCGCATATCTCCTACCACCAGTACCACCAGCACCTGTTGCATCAACAGGCAGCTGCCGCTCAACTGCAGGCTCAGCAGTACGCCGCCGCGGACCTCCACTACAGACAACAGCAGTTGGTGGCGCAGCACCGGGCCTACCAACAGGCGGGCTTCCTTCTCGCCAACCACCCCGCTGCTGCTGCCGCCGCCGCCGCCGGTGGGGCCTTCTTCTGCCAGACCTCCACGACCGCGGCGACCGAGGCCGGTGCTGGAAACGGCGCCGGCGTCATTCTCTCCGCAGCCGATCCCACAACGGCCCAGCAGCTGGCTCAACTGGCGGCGGCTGCTCACATGCAGCAGGCCGTTGCAGCCGGCAACGGACTTCAAGTTCGTCTCTGTTCTTGTTGTTGTTGTTGTTGCCTTTTTTATAGCTTGCCAGTTTCTCTTATCTCCGTGCTCTGTTGGCGGTTTCATTACTGTCGGTCATTGTGCTGCTCATGAGGCGAGTCATCTCCCAGAGGTGTTAAAGGGGGGAGGCGAGAGGGGTCGGCGGATCGGCTACTCAGCACTCCTCGCCATCTACCTCTGTCGTGCAAATTCACTTGTGTTTTGTATTTCCTACAAGAAATGTTTCATTATTTGGACGGGGGGGCTTTGCATACTGCTGCCAAGTAGAATTTTGTTAAAGTGGTCAATAACCTCATAGGTTTTTCGTCCATTTTGTGCGTAAACGCACACGTCTTGGTGTTTACGCAGAACAGTCACCAAACCTTTTCAAGATTTACATTTTTCTTTGAAATTTTGGCAGCTCATGTCCTGGTCATCAAGAAATGGGTGACGTTGTGAGCTGAAGCTCCTCATTTATCGCTTCTTAAATCGACCAACCCCATGGACCGATTGGGTGATTTACTGTGACCCTTTTCCTCCACCTCGTATCGCACGACTTGCTCGCTAAAGCTTCACTTTAGCGGTGTTTGCTTCTCCAAAAGAATTTCGTTTGTTTCGCAATGTGGCGTTGGCTTGACTGAATGCAACGCCTTTCACATGATCTTACCGCAGCGGCCCAACGTGCTTATGCCTTTTGTGCATCAAGTGGCAGAAATTCTTCATTCGCCAAGGTCATGTAGCTCACCTCATTCTTTTTTGTGTATCACAACAATGCGATGTTAATTAACCCCTCGTAAGTATCTGTGGACCCGTTTCTATGCTGAATGGCTCTCTCAGGACAACCTAGCCGTGCAACATGTTAATGCGACTTTTCAGAAGCATTTCTTTAACTTGGTAGGTGGATAATGTCAACAACGAAATTTATTCAAAAACTGCCAACGCACCAAACCGTTCCGTTTGTCAGAGATGTAAATTCATAATCTAATAATTGCATAATTGAGGATGTTTGGTAGAGCACGGTTAAACCAACTCTACTACTTAACTGGCACAGTTATTTTCTGTATTTTATGTTGTACCGCGTGTAAACTTCACATAATATGCTACATATGAGCATTTCTGCTGGTATATACACAGTTGATGTCGGGAGTACGTTCTGTCAACACGAAAACGACGAGCTACTTATTAGCAGTCAGTATGAGGGAAGATTGATGGCGTCAAATTTTTCCCATGTCTCAGTTATTCTACAATGGTGCTGAAACCTGCTATTGAAGAAACCGTGAATGCCGATTTTGTGCCCAATGAAATGCATTTTTATTCACTTGCATAGGTGATGGCGAATGTAATAGCGGGTCAGCAACACCAACAAATAGCAGCCCACCAGCAAGCAGTTGGCGCTTCACCACAGCAGATGGGTCACAACCCCAACGCTGCTCTCTACGCCAGCTACCACCATTCCCACCACACCCACCATCAGACTGTTCAACAGCAGCAGCAGCAGCAGTATCATCAGCAGGCTCAACATCAGCTGATGCTTCACCACGCGAATGCCGCCGCTGCCTGTCGTCCGGTTGTCATGACAGCGGCGGCGGCTGCGGCAGCGGCAGCAGCGACTGCATCAAGTCAGAAGACGATTTCTACCCCATCCATAGTTGTACAGGATCCGAGTGGTTACCAGCAGCAGTTGGCTGCTTTCTGCCAGCAACATCAACATCAGGGATTGGTTCTTGCTTACCATCAGCAGCAACAGCAACAACAGCAGCAGCAAGCTATGCAACAGGCCGTTGCGGCTGCAACAGTGGGCACAATTTCGTCGTCCGTTGACCATCGGTAGCGTCGAATTCACGTTCTCGCTCCTCCTCCCCCTTCCCCTTCTCTTCCTCCTTCCAAAGCCAGCAAGCATTTTCGTGGCCTCGTGTATTATTTCTTGTACAGCTAAACCATATCAGAATACGTTTTATCCTAGCCATTTTCATTCTACTGATCCCTAATCTCTTCTTTTTGATTATCAATTTAACGGCAGACTATTGCCATGCCTCTCATCTCGCATTTGATCTACGTGTCCATACACAAAAACACGCAAACATACGCATACGTAATATAAATATATATATATAGCTGACACATTTTTAATGTCTCGATGTTTGATTATTATGCAACACATTTAATTGTGTTATTGTTTTGATCTAGTTGAGGGAGTACAAGGTTGTCCGGGCGATAGGGGAACCTCGACATGACAAAAGTCATATTACTGAATGAGTTAGCGTTTCTTCAGGACTCTGGGAAGAAATCGCATCTGCTCTGAAAGTTTTTCTTTATTGCGTTATACTGTGTGCCCTTTAGAAAGTGATCGCTTTCCAGCCGCCAAAGGTCATGTTTAAACCGACTGATATCAGTGTAAGGGGCAGTTCTCGCGTTTTTCGCACTAGAGTTGATTCAAGAATCAGGACTTGTAAATTTGGTTGTGTGATTTAAGAGACTACTCAGTGACCAACTCACGGGTTCACTCAGTACAACAGAGGAACTCAGAAACCACAAATTCCGATCGTGTAACTCCGTAATCCAGCAACAGGGTATTCTGTTGCGCGCGAAATAATGGCCCTCAGTCGTAGTTGTTAGCTCCCTGCAAGATGATCGTTTCTGGTTCTTCTGTCCGAGTAGTTAGTTGAGTGGTATGCTGGGACTAGGGCATAAATCAGTCTAACACATTCACGCTTTCTGTAGGAGCCATCAAAAAATGTTAAGTTGATCAACCAGCTGTCTTGACTTGGAACGCTTGCGTGTGTGGACAACAATAAGCAATTCGACAGTAAATATCGCTCCGGGGGTGTTACTTTACGTATTCGTTTACTTACTACTTTTCTTAAATTTAGTCTTGTGGGTGCATTAATTCACCTTAATGCCAACCCAACGGCGTTGTGCGAACTAACCCCAGGGGGTAAGGTCGGCGCAGTTACAATGGCGGAGGAGGTGGTGCAGCATTTAGCAGCGGAGGATTAACACTGGTCTTCCCTGTTAGGTCATCGATCAGAAATCTACCGGTTGTTTCTTGTTGCTGCTCCAATGGAGTCCCCATGCATTCCAGCATCATTATGCTATGACAGCCACTCCCATAAAGCTGCTCTGTGAGGCTTTAAAATGTTTACGCTTCACTCTTTAATCTAGTCACTAACCACATTCCACTGTCCCATGTATTCAGTAAGATCTAGCTACATTTTAGCGACTCGCACCGACTTTACAGAGTTGTCTGCGATTAATTTAAGCACAGTTGAGACCGCTTCACTGTAAATCATTCTGCTTATAAAGAGCCAAACAGTGTAACAAAACGAACACAAATTGACCATTGACGCCCTCGAACGCAACGCCATATTCTTTTACTATGTTCAACATTACCACTTCACGGCAATTCATTCCAAGGCTTCATTTATTAGCACTGAATTACACGGGAAAAAGTGCCCTTCGCGTGAACTTTCACTCGAGTATATTTTACCCCAAGTTGATCTTGTTGCCTTATTGCTAATACTATGAAATCATGCCCGCTCTTCTAACGAACCATCGGTGGCGCGTAGTCTTTTCAACATTTCGAATCCATGGCTTATAGGTTGGGTTCTAACCGTCCACGACCATAACCGTGAGAATAAGCGGGCCCTGGGGGACGCAGTCGCAAGACAAGCAGCACGTACAATTGAGGTTTTGTATTTGAAAACAACGCATCAGCTCAGACAAGTGCACGCAGATGGGAAAATTTACAATGAACAATGGATATATTACTCATTGTTTGATTCTCATCTATGCCCTACAGCCGACGCTCCACCCAATTCAGCTATTTTATCATCCACCATAGTAAGTCGCTGCCGCAGTTCGTTGAGGCGTTGCTCTGTAACCATGTCAACATGAACGTCTCCACTGCCGCCACCACGGCCTTCAAAAGGAGAACGAGACCGCGCGAGATTACCTTGACGGCGATTACCATGACGACCACCGTAAGATCGGTTGCTAATCCTTTCTTCTCCACGAGATCGTCCGTAGTGAGATTCTGTGTTGTAATCACGGCCAAAGCGACCGGGGCGACCTAAAAATGTTGGCGATTATTCAAGAAGCCAATCTGGTTCGCTATAGCAAGTATTCCTGCTTTTAATGAAAATTACCAATTTTGAGAAACCTACCTGACCTTGGTTACGTGCACTGATAAACAGCTGATTAGATGCAATTCCAATTGTATTTAACCACCTTTACCAGGCGGAGTCGTATTAAAAAGAGGAAAGCATCAAGTAAGAACCTCGGCCCGCGTTGTCGACAGAGATAAGCGACGTTAGATTGAGGACCACGAATATTACGTCAATTAGAGCGCGCGAGGGAGACTCTTATATTCCTGGTATTTTTATAAATCAAACGGACACCATGTTGCCCTAGTAGACGAAACCATTTATGCAGATATAAAACAGAGAATGACACAATCGAAATCAACCTGTCACAGGACAGCAGGTTACCGTGGGGTGGAAATGGCGCGATTGCCCCTCCCAGATAAAGTTAAGCCCAATGAAACATAACCAAGCCCCAAGGACGCGTAGATTGATTGGCCAACAAACTAGGAATGGAAAACATCCTATGGCTACGCTGGAAAGCCATTCAGCGGCGACTTGAGCAGGATGGCCTACACGTAACTGAACCCCATTCACTACCGAATACCATAAATACATGGAGGAAATTTTTATTAAACACTCCTACGACAAATGTTCAACATGTAAACAATTATTTGCAATATAGACTGGGTTACTTCTGGCATAGAAACGTTTCAGCCACACTGACACGAGCTTCAGATTGACTCCTATTGACACACACGATAGCGTCTAGCATAGAGCATTAAGAATCGCACGAAGCCGGGAATTGATTTTGGAAAGGGATTCTTTTGTATCAAGTCCTTCACAATAACTGACGAGTGAACATTTGAGGTAAAGCGAACACAAAATTTAAGGAATGCGGGTCAAATATTAGAAAAAACAGACTTGTGGCTTTAAAAAAATATCTCACGGTGGTGCTGTCTTGAAAATATTTAACGCGATTCATTGTCCTACGGTAGGATAACCTGAAACTCCTCATATTGGACAAATACTCGACTGACAATTACCCAAGAAGATTCGCTTTTGGGGTTTCTACCGAAAGATTAGATGATTAGAAAAAATGCAAAAGCGGAAACTTCATCCAGGAAAAAAAGTTAAGATACTTTCAAATGCATGGAGGTCGACAGGTTCGCTATGCCCAAATTTATTAACAGAGGCACTGAATAAAGCTTACTTCGATCAAAGGACTGTCGGTGACGATCAAAATCATCCCCATGTTGTCTCCTCTCCCGATAGCGGTCTGGCGGTTGGTGTGGATAACCACCACGGGAAAATCGATCAACGTGCTCATGAAATTCCCCGCTTATACGACTCCGATAACCATCTCGACCTTAAACAAAAAAAGGTTAAACTATGAGTTTCAAGACTTAGTGCTTACCTTACTCTTTTGCCTATTTTAGTTCAATCCAAAGGTTAAATTTACATAAATTTATTTGAAATTTTTCCAACCTCTACTTTCTTAGAAGCGATTTGGTGAAATGTCTGTTACCTTGATCACTTCGCCGTCCTTTGCCCGCTTCATTAACATCAGGTCTCCTGCTTCGACCGTAGGGTCGGCTTGCGGGTGATGGTGGAGACTCGAACCCTCCCGGACTAACCGCCGTGTAGCCCAACTGGCGCATTCGTTTGGCGGCACTCGGTTCGGACTGGAATTGGGACGGTGTGGACGAGATATTGTCCCGTCTGGGGTGCTGTCTAGAGGGTGACTGGGAGGACCCACGACTGCTGGTGGCCGAAGAGACGGGAGACGCCCCAACTCTGGCTCCACCTCCGCCGCTGCCGCCACCACCACCACTAGCGCGATGCACCTTGTCTAAGGCGCTGCTGGGGAGCACTGGGGCAGCCTGAAAGTTGTATTTGATAATTATTTTTGAAATGAAAATGCAACAACCGGCAAATAATCCATAACGCGGTTCCTCGTTAGCCCCATATTGCTAGATGTTGAACAGACAGCACGAACAGGTGGTATGAGCGTGCTTACAAAACACCTGTGAGCGGTGCGAATTAGCCGCATGTGGGAAAGGGCCACAAGGAACAACAAACGAGGGGAGCAGCGCCCAGGGTTACAGGACAGTGATAGTGAACCAAACAGATAAATTAAACGACTGATTATAAAAATGCATAAATACGGACGTGGAGACTACAGTTTTATTAATATACAGAAGAAGGTAGGAAAACTTTATAAATAACTGATAGTAAAAGAAATGGGTCTCAAGTAAAAAACAGACGTATCTTTTCAAAAATTATGGTCTAAACAACTACCGACATCAAGTCACAGCCAAACCCAACAAGTCAATACGTTTCCGACCTCGGAACGGAAAAATACACCCATTTACCATACAAAACCGTTTTCTGAAGTTTTCAAATAATTAAACCGAGGTATCTAATTACACGTAGCATGCAGCAGGGTGGCCAGTTCAATTCAAGTTACATGAGAACGCTGAGCCGTGACTAATAAGGCCTTCATGTGGGCCACAATCCACGTCAACCAAATCGCATCGCTGCTAGGAAATTGAGTTAAGGTGAACGGAATTACTACAGATAAAAAAACATCCTAAATGCGTATGCAATAACTGCCAATTAACAATGATTATCGATTTGGGTTCCACGTCTGCAGACTAGCCACTGACAATGAAATGAGTCTATGGTCCAAATGCAAATTACTTAAAGCCTAATTCACACAACAACATTCGGTTGGAATAAAACAGATAAAATGAGGCCATACACGTGTGATTACCATATATGGTAAAGTAAAAGCGGGGGTTAAATTACCCTAACACGGGGAGCAATTTTGAGTTTGACGCCGGGGCGGGAGGAGGCGGAAGGGAGCGCCTTGGTTGAGCTGGGGGCTGCAGGATTGACAGCACCAGCCAGCAAAGGGACTGTCTGTTCGAAAGATAGCTCTGGAGGCGGCCCGTGGTGGTCACGCAAAGAGGGACGCATAGGTGCAGGCGGATTGCCAAAATCAATGTTTGCAAATGGACTACGACTCTTTCGACGAGATGGAGCAGCTGAAAGGGTTAAGGTTATAGCACGGTAACCACAGAAAATGTTTGGTTTCAGTGAACATAGTATGGGAGATCAATGTAGCCTAGGTCAAGCCAAAAACAAGGTTTTTACACTGGCACAAATCTTGCATGGATTGTAAAATACCGACAACAATTATGTTTCCACATAATGTGCACAACGTGGCATAAGATTTTTACAAAGACTTAACAAACTCTGTGCGTGACATATTTGTTGCTTACACATATCCTAGAACGGTCGTCGACATTTTACACTTTGTCAGCCGGCTACTTTTTAGACTTGCTAGGAAACGACGCCACTTACGGCGTTTTCTCGAGGGAGGGGAAGACGCAATTTGTGCCGGGACGACATCAGGCAAAGCCGATTTCGAAGACTGCCGTCGTAGTGAACCGCGATGCTGCTGGTACATTGGAGGAGGAGGAGGAGGAGACATTGAAGCATCTCGATCGCGGGACTGAGACCAGGAGGTAATGTAAGTGGTGGTTGTCTGTCCTACATTGTCGGTAGCTGATGGCGAACTGGGACGGGAGGGGGAACGAGTGCGGGACCGGCCTATTCGTGTGGAGGGAGAGGGAGAGCGCTGGCGGATCGGGGCTATAAACACACGCAAAATCACACACCTGCGCATCCAATCACTATCAAATATGAAGAATACCAAATACATTCAAAATACCACGAATCAAAGGTGTACGCCAGTACAAGTGAGCATAATGTTATGAAAGCTTCCAACAAAAATCTGCCAGAATCTTCAATTGACTAGATGCACATTATTAGGCATGCATCAGGTTGATCACGTTTCCGAGTTAGTGTTTTCTAGTCAATAGCGAACAAAACAGGCTTTGGTGTCACTCAGCTTTCAATGCTGTAGATCCTCATATGCAAGGAAGACCAACAGTTGGCTGCCACAAAACACGAGGCCCATGACTCATCCAAAAAGCTCTTTGAATCAACCAAAGAATCGGGAGTAACGGCCTGCTGCTACAATTGTCTGGTTCTCTGTCTGTTGCATACACACATCAGTCCACTGAAATCACGAGCTTGTTTGAATTCGTCTAGCTAAGTTGCAGTATAACGCTGCGTAACAAATCCAGCCGTCGCAAAACAGTTGCTGAAAGATGCCGCCCAATGTTTAGGACCCTTCCTATCACGACAAAGTGAGACGTCTTGTGTTCACCTGAAGCTTAGGAACAATGCATAAAAAAGGCATCATATCTCATAGTCAAGCATTCCCCTCGTAACTTTTCACAGTAGCTACAATAAACACTAGTTAGATTTCTCCACTTTATGCATTGAAAAGATTCATGGTTATAGAGTTTAGACCGGTTTTCACAAAAATGCAACATCGACCGCTTACACGAGGCAACAAAGCCAATAATATCAACGCAGCGAATGAAACCTTGTAGTGACCGATCCCTTCATCCAATCCCTGGTGGAATCCCCAGCCTCCCCACGAGAATAAGTCATCGTCATCAAACTCGTGAATTAAATAGCTTGACCTACCTTTGGATTTTAAGGAGGGATCAGCAACCCAGGGACGTTTAATTGGCTTCTCCGAAGGCATCGGTGGAGGTCGATCAGGGCTCCTGCACATAATCATCAAAAAACTAGATCATTCATTCAGAAATTTAGGCTCACAAGACAAATCCTGGATGACTATTGATGGGCTAAATTATTTGAAAATGATCAAATGGAACAGATTTAAACACACTGCGCAGTACGAATTCGTAGCAACAAGCTAATACGATTTTAGGACAAAGGGAAAGGAGTACTTGGGATGCAAACAAAGTACGACTCCAACTGATGTGAACCTTGCGTTTTAAGCGCTAAAATGGTTTTCGCATATAGCACATGATCCGGGAAACCCATGAATGCATATTCCAGACTGACGATACCGAACACATAGATGGAAAAGCCAACAGAAGTAGAGATCAAGTGCCAATTCGTAGTAAATCCTTTAGCGTAACGAGAATTATCAAGGCTGTTATATTCCCCTAATAAATTCACTAAACAAGCTAAAAAGAAAATGAATTGCTCTTCAAAACATTAGTTTGAAGGAAAGTGACGACGTGGATACCCTTTACAAACATACAACATTAGAACGATGAACTTTTAAACTGTCCGCCTTCATAGACGAATTTTCCGGGGCAGAAGCAATGCCATGAAAACAGTGAGATTTTATTGGCGTAGAGTAGATTAAGACATAATGCTTTAGAGGCCAACTTTGTTGGAATGTCAAAAAAAAGTTTTGTACCTCCTAAAAGGACAGCGAAAAAAGCTATCGCGGGTAATGTATTCGAACTAGAGAATCTAATTGGATGGATTGTGCTCTTATTCATGAATGACAATTATTTAAAAAGGGGCCCTATTAAATAAGACAATGCTATCAATGGAAGCGTAGTTGCCAACAAAATCCTTTTACGTAATTTTTGACCAATGATGAAAATTAGACCTAACAGTTAGGGATAAAACGTAGAATTAGGTCGAGACAATGAGCAGGCACACTAAGTAAATTAAGCTGGAAATTGTATTACGATGCTACTTTCGCTCTGTTGAATTACATTAGTTTTTAGAAGCTACAATTACTCTGACGCGATGCGCAGACATGTTATAGGGATAATAAGGATCTTCTAGACACCAATGCAGAAGAAGGGGGTTTGTGTTACAAATTAGCGTTTTTAAAGTAAAAAGGCAGTCCAAATTTCCTGAAGTACCTTTTCTTCAAATGAGAGTAAAAAATGCAAGATTAAAAAAATAATTACCTGTGGGTAGAATCTTGCCAACGGTTTGAATCAGCGTAGTTCTGACGACTCGGGCACACTGCGCCATTCTCATTCGTACCGAAGTCATCGCGAGAGCGATCGGTAAATCCACGTTGCTGGTGGTGATAACCGCTTATCTGTGGTTGGCTTTGAGGGGGTTGGCGTTGATCACTGTGAGACAATTGCGGACGACGATTACGCCAGGAGGTACCTGCAGGTAAAAACAAGCATAAACTAAGCCATGCACGGGGTAATTCGAATTTCGCAATATAAAGGTGCTAACGTTAATTTTACCAACCAATAATAGCTATCTTAGTACCCCTGAACGCGCTACAGTATTACTTACAGTTATTCCACTATACTTACAATTAAAAAGCCTTATGGAATAGATGTACTTACGTTGGTCTCCATCCGCAAGGCCCCGCCGACGGGGTGAAATCCTTCTCTTACTACAACCTTCTTTACCATGAACTTTGTCCCTACTTCTCGGAAATGCTGCTGCAGAAGAGGAAGAGGAGGATACAGACGATGCGGAGGAAGCACTTCTGCTCTTCTTTTTCTGATCCTTTGTAGATGAGCGAGAGCTAATGCCACTTCGACTACTGGAACTTCTCCTTCTGTGCGATTCGGCGCTACTGCTAGTATTGCTGGAAGTGCTGCCCCTACGCCTTCCACCTCCACGCCTACGCCGACGCTGTTGTTCGCGATCTGAGTCGTCTGCGATAATGAGGTCAGGCACAGCAAGAAGGATTGAGCCTGCCAATGAGGAAAGAGAACTGGCTCGGGAGCGACAATTAGTGGAGGCCGGAGAGGTAGCAGAGGAGGCGTCAACAGACCTTGTTCGGGCGTCAAGGAGACGCCGACGCCAACGTGACATTGTGCTTTGGGAGGGCGGGGTCAAATCGCAAGGTAAGCTCCGCTTACCAGTTAGCTGGGTACACCCGACTACGGCGAGTTTATAGTAATCAAGCCAACTAAAGTAAAGCAAAGAGTAACCAAAAGATACGTTAGATCATACCCAGAAAACTTACTAGGACACGGTAAAAGGTCCCAAAGGACAATGAACGCGATCTTAATGATTAAAATTACAATTGAAAAGTAGCAAGGAAAGCAGCGAGAACGAGTGACATATATGAAAGCGGTCGTCAATAAAACAAGCCAGGAGAAAGAGTTCGAACAACATAATCGGGTTGAACTTCATATCTACGTAGTCAACAGGGCAAATAAAGATACATAATTATATATTTAGAAAAAAATTATACTGACAGGCATAAGAACCAAAGTGGCCACTGCATTTCATAATAAATTACAAGTCGCATTAATATTTCCCACACATTTACCTTGTATCGCTTACGTTATCTACAAATATTAGCGACGCACAAAACTGCATGCATTTTACCCTGCAGTGAAAGTTATGGATGAAATCATAGGCATTAACAAAGAGGGAAATAATACCAAAGGCGTTTAATATCGACTGTGATTTTCTGAAACCCACAAGCTATCTGCAAAATTTGAGCGGCCTAATTCCGAAGTTGCGGCGGCGGGGGTGTCTTCTTCATTAGGATCAGGGGCGACAACGGTCAATTTGAGCTTTTTCTCTTCTAAATCTGCATCGTTTTGACGCAGCAACTTGACCTTTTTAGCGCGCTAAAACAATACAAGGAACAATAAAACATTTTGCGTGACCAAATTGTTTAGTACGCACAGGAAGCTGATATATAGAGGACGAATTGCTAGGACATTATGCGTTAAAAAGGATGTAAAACAAGCAATATTTTCTTTTGCAACACAAACGTTTACAGTGTTCCATTCATCCCTGGCACTTTCGCTTATTTAACAAGAGACCGTTGTGACAACTCTAGTTTAAGCAGTGACGTTAAGACGTCTTTACAAAAAGGAACATTAAACAAACCTCACGGGCGAGGCGAAGCCCTCTTTCCCAAGGAGTTTCCTCAACAGGCGACCGAGTTCTGTCACTTCGGTCATCCTTTCGAAAATAAAAACAGTATAAGAAAATAGAACCCATGCAAAAAATTAAACAAAAATGTTCACATACCTCATCAGAATCCACTTCGCCATCGCTTGTCACGCCCTCACTGCTAGTACTTTCGGAATCTTCATCACTATTCAGCTCACCCTCGTCTGCATCCGAGTTGTCGCGAGGAAAGAAAGTTCGGTTTCGCATTAAAGCTACGTAGAAAACGACACAAGTAGATTACACGATATATAATCATTGCTAACGAACGTTGCAGCTACAAAGGTTACATAGCATCCTAAAAATAAACCACAATATATAGCAGAAACATTAATTCAGGACAATGGTTAGGCGAGGGAATTATCTGATAGAGGAAATTACGGCGCAAAAGGACAGATATGTACTACTACTTGAAAAATTTATTTCAATCAATGTTACATTAACAAAATATCAGGTAAAAAAGATTTAGAAAATTATACAGGAACGTTTAAGGCAACAACAACAAAAGCAACTGGAATTCTAAGGTAAGCAAGTCACCCTCAGCCCTCAAAATAACTAAATGCCGAAACTTTGCATAGACACACTTTGCATTTATGCTTGGGTTAAGACTTTACAAACAGTTAAAGGTTATCTAAAGAATACACAAATAAGCTTCGCAAGAATCATTTAAGACGCCAAAAGACAACGCAACGGAAGAAATCAAGCATTGTGCCACAAGCATAGACGTTCATAAAAACAATCAATCAAATTAAATTTCTAACAGAGATTTAGGTTTCCTAGTCAATCACTACGGTTTAGCAAATCTTTTATATGGTATTTTCTAGGGTTGAATTCTTTCGTAACACAAAAAGTTCTCTTCAACAATGCTGCTAAAAATGTTGGTACAATTCGTCAAATTTAATTTTTGATTAATTGACTGTCACGTTTGCAATCAAATTGTCAAAGTTCTATAATAGTATATATTTGGAAAATCATGTACGTGTAAAAAGTATTCGTCATAAATGCTGCCTAATTTGCAATCGTTATTTGTCGTAATTGAATCCTGACAACACAGACATGATAAATACATGCAACAATTAATCAAAAGTAACAATTTTACTATGGATTAACAATATATGTAACGTTATAAGTACACATGTCGATGATAAGAAATTAAAAAAATTAATGATATTTTGTGTTATCGACACAACAAAACGGTTTTGTATTTTCAGCATGGCACTCTTTCGTCAGCACAAAGCAAAACACCTAAATGTGTCAAATTATTGACAGTAATCAGAGCCAAACTATGCACTGGGCAATTACATAATAATAAGTTCAGTTAAGGGACATTTTCGCCCTAATTTTTAAGAAATTTATCCTGACTAGATCTTTTGATTTTTGTGGAAGTGTGTGCAGCTTTATGCAACTTAATTTACTTTAAAAAAGTCTTTAATTATTGTCGAATGCAAGTTATGCTATTCATAGGTGACTGGCATTCTAAACAATGATTTACTTTGCCGGAGAGCCGATATATCTTAGCAATATTTCAAAACAGAATATTTCAGGATGTTGTAACGAGATCCTGAATATATCACCTAAAAGAGAGTAAGAGGATAGTTACTTAACCAAATTTCTGTTGTCGTGGGATAATTTTAAATGCGCTAAATTTTCAAGAATGACAACGACGTAGTTTGAGTAAATTAGAAATTGGATCTATTGCTTAATGGTAAGTTTAGGGCCTGGGCAAGCCAAGGATTATCTGATTATCGGGGTTGGCTGCTTATCTTCCTCGCATGCCATTGGAAGTCAGAGAGACACAGGATTGGCTGCGGCCAGGTGATCCAACATGTCTGCACCCTATTCCGTCGTCACTGA